TCTCTGATGCTGCTTGGCCTGCTGTGTTCATCCAGTTCTACACCTTGTTATCTCAGTGCTGAACGTACTTCTGATCTCCTCATGGGTTTCCTTCTGTAGCATTTGAATAAATCTCTATAAATCTTAGTTAAAGTACGCTGAAATGAATTACTGATCGCACAGCTCAGTATTCACACCAGATGCAAACAGTGATAAGTAAACTAACTTTCATTTTATCATTTTCTACATAGAACACTCAGTCTAAGAGTTAATGATTGTAGTGATTTTCCTGCTATTCGTGTTTCTGTTAAGATCATAAATCCCAGAGCTTCTGGTCTACATTTACAATGTAGATATGGATTTCCAACATAAATTCAGGTTTTCTTAACACACTAAAAATATGACAGAGCATACAATATACAAAAGGGTTTGGAAAATTCAATTTAATTTAAACGTAAAATGTGAAGTTTTCCACATTGTTCTAATACATACAAAATTAAAAGAACAGAACTGAATTTGCAGACTGACTGAGAAAGATACTTAGAATAAAGGAAGAGTAATCACTTTTAGTATCCAGACAACGTGGTAAAACAGTTGAAGCAGGATGCTGGAGAATATAAGCAGAATAACACAGTACGTCTTGTGGTTATGAGACTGTACAATGGTTTTGTCAGGCCACACTTAGACCACTGCATTCAACTCTGTGCACTGCACAAACAAAAGCATTGAACCACATTAGTATACATTTCAAAAAGGTCCATCAAAGAACAAAATTTATTGCAATTATAATGATGATAAACTAGGCTTCACAATTAGAGATGGTCAAGGACTACCACCTAAAATGGAAAAGATAAAGGGGAACCTTAACAAGTTGTATGAAAGATTAAATGATGCAAACAAGAATCCAACATGTGCACCTCAAATTGAGTCAGAAAAGTAAAACTTAATGAGAAATTAGTGAAAATGGCATTTTAAATTACACTTGGAAACCCAGCTTTGAACATCTGGCCAGTGAAGTAATAGATGCAAAATAGTTAGAAACACACTGTGTAGATGGATACTGCAGTTAGAGTACTCAAAAGGACAAACTTAATAACCTTTCTAGTCCTTGTGAGTATATTATGTTTAAGGTCTGCTGATGGAGCAATCTCTTTTAAACACAAGTACCATTCTCATGATACACTCACTGCATATTAGGATTAGATGTTATCTGTGCATGTGGTAGGAGTTGAACGATGCTAACCCTAATATAGATGGTATTTCAACTCCAAAAGACAGTGCAAAGGGTTCTCAACAAGGCTCAGACAAGCTTATGCATCCACATGCTAACTCAAAGTACCTGTAAAGGCTGCACAAAAGTTACAAGATGTTCATAGCTTCGCAAAAAAAAGCACTGTACACTTAATCACCTGCCCAAATCAAAACCATTAAAGAGTATTAACAGTATAAAGATAAACTATTTCCACTGGTTGGAGATTCTAGAATTAAAGGGCGTAATCTAAAAATTAGGGCCAGACCATTCAGAGAGGTGTTAAGAAACACTTCTACACATAAAAGGGTGGTAGTGGTTTGGAAGTTTCTTGGAAGCTTCCAAAAATGGCAGTTGATGCTAGATAAGTTATTAATTTTAAATCTGGGAGAGATACATTTTTGTTAAGCAAAGGTATTCAAAGATATGGGCCGAGGCAAATTATATGCAGTTTGGCCAAGGGGAGTTATGTAGTTGGGCCACGGCTCTCACTGAATGGAGGAACAGCCTTGAAGGGCTGAATGGCCTGCTCCTGTTCCTGTGTACCATTGCTTCTGCTATGAATATTAGCAATTGTTAGGTTATCTTTTTCAAATTAAACCACGTTTCAAACTTTCAGCACAGCAGTAATTCACTGGCTGAGCAATGATGTACTGTATGCAAATTTTGACTGAATAAAGTTAGGTAAGCACTCTGATCGTTGATCTAAGCTCAGCACAACTGGCCCCTTGTTTCAATTTAGGCATCTTTTCAAAAAGCTTAGACATAGAAATATCTGGACTAATTTTGATGCAAAAACTCTGGCACTGCTCCCTCACAAAGTGAAAGAAGAAATATCACAACACATTATGAATAACTTGAATTTACCACGGAAAAATTCAACAAAAGATTATAAAAGGTAGCATCACCCAAAACAAAATTAATTTTAAGATATATAGACAATAATATATTGTATTAAAACCAAATAAACATTGAAATCTTACTTGTTACTGAAACATCCAACACTGCATTAATTGTAAATTAAGACAAAAAATCAGCAACGGAAATTCAGAATGTGAAAACAATCAATATCGGATCATTTATCATAGAATTTAGATCCTCCAACCACAATTATTTTACAACTCACCATGTCCATGGGCTCGGATACAAACAGTAGAAGAAATTCCATGCTTGGTGATCAATCTCAGAGCTCTTGAAGCCAACATTCTGGAAAGATTTTACAGAGGGCATTTATTAGAGTCGTGTTTACGTCAGTAACACAACTAGAAAATTTTATAAAGTAAAAATCTGAAGCAGCAAGCACACCACATGGTTCCAACTCCAAAACACCAAAGCTCTAACGATTCATAAGAAGGGCCAAATTTCTAATATGATCACCTTCTAAAAACAAAAGGTGAAGACCAATGTTCAGAAATGAACAGCCATTAGTAAGACCAAAACCGAACACAAAGTAATCCAGTCACCTTCGTAATTCCAAGCTTCTTCAATTAACAAAAAGGTCAAATTTTGTACCTTAACAACCCTTGTTACAAACGTTATAAGCTGTAGGGCACAAAGCTCATTATTGATATTTATTGATTACATATAACCTCTCAGATATTAAGCTTAATTAATAATTGTTGAAAGTATTTAAACAGGCAAGGAGACCTCTCACAGCCTGATCACAAAATCATTTCCTTGATTCTCCTCCTTTCTCAATTCAAAGAAAGGGCCCTTTCTAGTCTTACTGTAGACTACTTAACCCTGGTCATACCGCAAAGTAAAGATGCATGTAAATACACAAAAATATAACCCGCATAATCATTCAGATTATTAAATAGCAAATGCAATTCTTGCAAGGTAACTTGCAAGGTAACATACATCTGCAGCAGATCCTACTGAACAAAACCCTGTATGGCCGTGAAGGACAATTCTAGAAAGACATACATAAGTTAAAAATGACACTATATTGTGACATTCCTACACAATCCAGTTATATGTCCAAACCCACTTGATCATTTCCCCAAAAAGATAAATTATTACAATTAGTCCATTCTGTGATTTCACTTCCTGATTTACGTGTAACTCATTTAAACTGACACTTGTAGCTCATGCTTGTAAACCAGACCACAATCTTAAACTAAGTGCTGTAATAAAGACAGAGATAAATAATCCTGTAAAAAGAATATCCATCATGGTGCAGCGTAACAAAATTAAATTGCAAAATGCATGCCAGTAACAGATAAACAACAAATGCACAACAGGAAGAAGCAGGTATTTGGAGTAGACTTTATAATTCAAATTTATTATCCTCCTAAACCTGTCCGGCAGCACTGCCTGGCTTGAACTGCTCGTCCACACCAGTTTCTATGACTTTGACTCAGGACTGTTGTAAACAACTCATGTTACCAGCATACCAGCATCTAGAGGAAAATTCAGTGTGCATATAATGGATCATCAAACTTATTAAAGTAAAATAGAACTGGTTATCACTACAACTTAACCTCAACAAAATATCAAAAATGGAAAAAATATTTAAAATGCCAACTGTTAACCATGTAATGGATTTTAGTTTCAAGATTTAATATAATCTTGACAAATTCTTCACTTTGCTCTCAAAACTTGATATTGATGTGCTGCACTCCAACCTGTTCATTAGTCTATAGTTATACTAAAAGTGAAACTAGGTAAACAAAACACTATCTTCCAAACATTGTAACTCTTTCAAACATTCTCTGTACAGAAAAGCTGCTGATGCTGACATCAGATTGGCCCGAGAGAACAACAGAGGGAATATATCAGATGACAGTGTATGAGGAAATTACTAGTATTTGGTTCATCTCAACAAAAACATCTCAATGTTGAAGAAAGAAAAATACATTTAGCTCAGTCCCTTCTTTGCAAAATAGAGACATGCATACCCTAATTTAACTTGCAAAAGGCTGCAAGAAAAGACAGACAATTCAATGACAAATACATCATTTCAAAGTGCTTGTTGGGACGTCTTCTGGGTTTCCGGATATCAATCTGGTAAAACTTCCCTGAATCACTTCCAATGCATTTACGTCCTTGTGTAACTAACGCTGTGCACATTACTGCAAAAGTATAACCTCCCTAACCTAAATAACTCAATATGTTTGGCAGCCCATTCGATTTAATTCCACTCAGTCAGCTTCACCTTGCAAAAGCAGCAGAGTTACTGCAGACATTGACAGATCTTGTGAAGGTTGGGGGGGGGGGACGTGCAGTCAGGTCACTGATCACCCCGCTGTCCCTGCCTGGGGCAGTGGGGCCAGGCACTAACCCCGAGTCCTCCCCAGTCCCAACCACCGCCAAGCTCAGTCCAAGCCGCCTGCCTCAAAGGCTCCCGAAGGCGGGAGGGCAGCCACCGCAGACATGTCCACCGATTCCTCCCCCCGGGGGTCAGCATCGATACCCAGGCCCAGGACGGACAGGGTCGGTCACTCACTCCGAGCGGTCGGTCGCCACAGCAACGGGAAAAGCAACTACCCGCGGATGGAGAGAGCGGAACTGACGTCTCCTAGCCGGAAGTCAGCGTCGCATGGCTGCAGGCGCCAAGCCACAGTTCATAGAGTAAACAGTAGGGGGCGCATGTGGCGCACACGTTGAAATACAGAATGTACACGGGCTGGGTGTGGGATATCCTCATTCAGAGCGGGTACACGG